TAAGTTTAGTTTTGTCATGGAATATTTTGTTTTCTCCATCTATGTTGATTGAAAGCTTTGCTTTGTATAGTAGTCGGGGTTGGCATCTGTGGTCTCTTAGAGTTTGCATGACATCTGCCCAGGCCCTCTGGCTTTCATAGTTTCTGTTGAGAAGTCAGGTGTGATTTTGATGGGTCTATCTTTATATGTTAATTGACCTTTTTCCCTTGCTACTTTTAATATTTTTCTTCGTTCTGGAGATTTAGTGTTTTGACTATTATGTGGTGTGAGGAGTTTCTTTTCTGTCTAGTCTATTTGGTGTTCTATAGGCCTCTTGTATGTTTATGGATATCTCTTTAAGTTGGGAAAATTTTCTTCTATGATTTTCTTGAAAATATTTTCTGGACTTTGAAGCCTGGAACCTTCTTTTTCATCTATTCATATTATTCTTAGATTTTTGTCTTTTCATGGCATCCTTGATTTCTTGAATGTTTTGTGTTTTGAACTTTTCTGATTTTACTTTTTCTTTGAGAGATGTATCAATTTCTGCAACTGTATCTTCAGCACCTGAGATTCTCTCTTCCATCTCTTGTATTCTGTTGGTGTGATGCTTACCTTTGTGGCTCCTGATCTTTTCTCCAAGTTCTCCAGCTTCAGAGTTTTCTCTGTTTGTGTTTTCTTTATTGATTCTAATTCTGTTTTCATGTGTTACCTTTCCTTCATCTGTTTGAATGTGGATTCCTGTCTTTCCATGATGGCCTCTATTTTTTATGTTCATTTCCTCTCTACATTTCTCTACTTGTGCTTCTATTTGCTTGGCTATATTTGCCTGTATTTCTTTGAGAGCTTTGTTTGTTTCCTTTTTATGTGCCTCTAATAACTGGATAAGCATAGATTTTTAGATCATTTTCTTGTGTTCATTCAATTCATTCTTGTATTCATTTAATTCAGTAATTTCTGATGAATTAAAATATTCATTGATTTTGGGGGTTGCTGGTGAAGCCTGATGTTCTGATTTTTGTAGGATGTGTTCTTATGCTCTCTAGCCATCTACTTATCTGTAACCTTGCTGTTTGTTCCTGGAGTCTGTACTTCAGACTGGGTCCGTCTGTCTGTGGTGTCTGGAGTATTCTTCAGGAAGATGAGAGAGGTCCACCGGTTTGAGAGTGGATGATGGTGTTTCAGCTGTAGCTGAGGGAGGAAGGTCACAGGCACATTTGCACAAGAGCGGGAAGTGTGCCTTGAAGGACAGGGTGCTAGAGCATGTAGATGCCTAGAATGGTGGGGCTTATCAGTACAGGTGGGGGTGCTGGCACCATTCATGGGCACAATGCTCATGTGCAGGTGCCGTGAATATCTCAGTGGCCCACAGGCCTGTCCTCCAGGTGTTCAGATCTGTCTGGTTTGCACCAGGTTGGCTCCAGGAATTGTTTGCCTGAACTCCACTGGGAGACCCACAGACCAGGGGCTTCAGTGTTGAGAACACTGTCCCAAGGATTCCTGTGTTGCCCACAGTGGGGGTGTGGGTGGGAGGGATCCGATGTCTGTCTGCTAGGATAGAGGGACCCTTGATCTGGGGCTCTGCATGCACTCCCTTGAAGGTGTGCTCACTTGCTAGCAGACCTAATCAGAAAGCACAGGGGTTCCTCCTGTTCTCTACTCTTAGATTTGGGCCCGCAGGGCAAATGAGAGTGTAGCAGCTCCATCAGCTCAGTGGTGTCCAGTGTTTGTCCGCCGGCCAGGGAGACCAGTGCTTGGGGCAGCTGCCTCAGCTGTCTCAGTCACCGAGAACAGAGGCTCCTGCTTGGGGCAAGCACTGCCACCTCCACCGAACAGGGAGGCCCATGCTTGGGGTAAGTGAAAGTGCAGGGAGGTAGGATATTCCCCAATCTCAGGCCCTGGAGACGTCCACGGGTGACCTGGATCCAAACTGTCCTAGCTCACGGGTTGTCCCTTCTCGCCCAGGATTCCTCAATGTCTACATGTTTGCCTCAGCTGCTCCCCCACCCCCAATTTTGGAATTTCAGATCCTGTGCCCCTCAGATACGGTGTGCGCTGATTGCCACCATCGTGGACCTCCCACAATGTAATTATTTTTAAAAAATGAAATGTTGGAGCCCGGGCATGGTGATATACACCTTTGAGCCCAGGCAGAGGCAGGTGACTCTGAATTCGAGGCCAGCCTGGACCATAGAGAGAGTTCCATGACAAAGAAAGCCTGTCTTGAAAATAAGCAAAACAAATAACAATAACGAAAATAAATGACTGAAATTTGCAGGTAAATAAATGAAACTAGAAAATATTTTTAGTGTGGTAACAGAGAACCAGAAAGGCAAATACTGCAAGTTCATTCTCATGTGGTTTCTGGCTGCAAATCTTGAGACGTAAATACATTATTTGGCCTAGCCACAGAAAACAGGAAAGTAAAATGGATTGGACCATGTCAGGGAGCCCTAGAGATGATAACAAAGGATACCAGTGATATGGAGTGGGGAAATAGGAAAGAAAAAAAAATAGAGTAGGGTAGTTCATTTGGGAAAATACAGAAGCAGAGAGAGAGAAGGAAAGAATAGCAGTGGGAATACTTGGAGAAGTCTACAGAATTAATAGATGGCAACATGTGTGTATGAATAGATAGATAGGCAGATAGGGAGATATGTAAAAATGAAGCTAACTACTGGGAATGATAGTACTTCTACCCTTGAGCCATAAAATATTTAACAAAAATCCTTGTGAGAGGAATTAAAGTATTTTGAGTTGTTGGTTAGGGATATCTAAGAGACTTTCAAGACAAAACAGAATCCTGCTGCCGCTATTGACTGACCCCATGAGTGAACAGGTCAGCCCCCACTGATAAAGCCAGCATGCACTCTGAACAGGGACTAAGTGGATTTGAGGCGGAATGGACAAGAAAGCTTCTTCCCTAAGGACTCAGCTTTCATTAAAACAGCGAAGTGGGGGAAACCATAGGCCTGCCCATACGTGAAGACTGTGCTACAACGTGTACAGCATGCTAACAGATCACTGCAATAGTGGCAATTACATCTTGGCAGTAACCAACAGCTGTCTGGTTGGGCTCAAGGTTTATCGGGATCATGCTAGGTACAGTAATCCTAGGCAATTACATGTGGTTTCTGGGATTATAGAACTTGAAGACCCACTCTCCTAAACCAACATAATCCCTAAGTATATTTTAAATATTTAATCTTGTATCTACAGGTAAGTGGAGATCTTACAAGTGTCTATGTAAGAATTATATAAAAATCATTGAAAAGATAATAGGAACAACTAATCACCGGTTTTGAAAAATAAGTAATTCAGTGATAAATGCCTGACCAGGAAAATGGTTTTGCTAGAACAGCGCCAACCCTCAGTTTATTGGCATTTGGCATCAAATATTTTGCTATAGCTCTGTACTGCTATAGATAGCATGCTTGTTCTTTCATCTTCATTTTTTTTTTTATGTAGGCAAATACATTTATCAAGAAAATACTTTGTCTTGGTAGCACTGACTAAATTTTCAATGTCCTTTCATATCTAATTCTTTCTCTTCTCATCCCATTTCTCCCCGTTCTTCAACCTTTTCTCTCCACCCCTTGCTGCATCAATCATTATAGTATAAAGTCATTTTCAGTCTTAGGTACACACGGTGTTCATGCTTGGGATGTCCTCTGTGAATATTTCAAATGCAGTATTCAAATGCAGAAGTATGGTACTTGTCTTTTCTTTGACTAACGGATCTGGTAAAATTCAAAAGAAGCCAAAAATATGAAATGAATTTTATATTCACATCATCACTGTTAATTTTTTTTTTTAAAGCAAAGAAATAGACTCAGCAAAAATTTTACTGCAGATCAGATGAAAAATGTTTTGGAAAAACGGTAAGTTTTAGAAAACAGAGGAAAAAGAAGTTAACAAGGAGAGTCAAAGGGAGGATGTTTGAATCTCAGAAGGGGAAATGCGGATGTGGATGGAAAAAAATGGATATGGATGAAGAGAGGAAACTGGGTGGGAGAGGGTGTGGGGAAGGGAACGAGGGTGGGAATCAGATGTGGGCAGATGAAATAAACAAGTGTAAAATGTTTTATTTTTTTGGCTGTTTAACTTGCCCTTGTGTGTAGGGGCATGTAGCATAACGCACCCAGAGGTGACGGGACAATGTGGGGGTGTCAGGACTCCTCCTATGACGTGATTGAACTCGGGACACCAGGCTTGGTGGGATGTGCCTTTACCAAACCACTGAGTTGTCTCCCTGGCCATGAAACAGTATTGCGGACATGGTGTAAGCATTACATTACCGTGACGGTACACCTCCCTTTCCAGACTCTCACCCACCTTCTAACAGCATTGTGTCTTCTGAAAGAAAAAAAAATCCCTCCCCCCCCCCCCCCCCCCCCCCAAAAAAAAACCCCGCTCATCCTGCACCTGGTATGGTGTGATTTCACTTAAAGCGCCTACCCTGCCATGCTTCCATACCAAGAGCCCTTCTGAGGCGCTAGCCCCTCTGTGTCGGAAAGGCCAGTTGGAAGCTAATGATAGTTCTTAAGGAAAGCCGGGTTGGTTGTCGCTCATTTAATATAGCACAGTAAAATGCAAATGGTGATTCATGGACTGACTCAAATGTGTTTTTTGGGAAGAATGGCCGCAAGTCCCCCCCCCCCCCCGCCTTGAGTCACTCTCCTTGTTAACCCCCATCCACTTCCACCCTGGGTGACCGCGGAGTCCCCTTGGCACGGCTTAGCTCTGTTCTGCAGCCACCCGTGTCCACAAGCCCCAACAGAATCCTCTGACCCTGTCACCGGCGCCCAGCTGCAGGCAGTGACAGCTGGGAAATGCCTCCCTCTGGCCTAGCCCTCCCTGAAGTCCAGGTCTGACTGATGAGGTCACATTCGAGGAACTTTGGGTTCAACCACGAAAGGCTCCAGGCGGTTTAAGGCTGCTCGGAGGCCGCGGCCGCAGGGCGGCGGGCTGCGCGTGGGCAGCGGGCGGGCGCGCGCGGAGCGGGCGCGCGGCCGAGCGGCATGGCGTGGCCCTGCATCAGCCGGCTGTGCTGCCTGGCCCGGCGCTGGAACCAGCTGGACCGCTCGGATGTAGCGGTGCCGCTGACTCTGCACAGCTACTCGGACCCCGAGAGCGAGGGGCCCAGCGCCGACTGCACCGCCTTGCGTGGGAGCCCGTCCGTCGCGGGCGCTCGGGAGCCCAGCCGCGCAGTGCCGCTCACCCAGTACCAGCGCGACTTCGGCCTGGGGACCGCGCGCGCGGGGCACCGGGATGCGGCTCAGGAGCGCGTGTCCGGGCGCGGCGGCCGCAGGGGCCAGTCCTCCGTGCCCCACTCCCGGACCGTCTACGTGCTGCCCATCGGTGACGCGGACTCAGCTGCGGTAGTGACCACGTCTTATAGGTGGGTAACTGGCTGCAGCAGAGGAAAGCTTGGGATCTCGAACCCGCGGTGGGAGGAAATTGAGTTCCAAAGCGGTGTGGGGGCGGGGAGGGTACGGAGCATGGATACTGCAGGATCTGGAGTGTAGCAGGGGAGCCTCGGGGATATCATTTTGGTCTCCTGACACTGCAGGCACCTTCCAGGCTGCTCCCTACCCTGGGATCCAGGGTGAATGCTCACCTCACGAGGGAGCTCCCTCTCCCCTTGTTCTTTTCTCCTTCCCTCTCAGATTGCTCCCTTTTAACTTCTTTGGGGTTACCACAGAGTGCTGTGCACAGCCCCCCTACCTCACCCTCAACCCCAGTGCCCAGGATCAGTGCTGGCTCTGATCAAGATATCATTGCAGCTTTGGACAGAGGACTTCCTGCATCCTCTTTCTACTGGGAAGAGTAATGCATGCTCCTAGTGGGAAAATTAGAAATGACTAAAATAACAAATACAGCCTTAACACCCTCATGCCACCCCTCTCAAACAGATGGATCTTCATAACTCTTAATGTACAATAAATGCACACACAATCAGATTCCTGCATGATGATATATATGGTGTGTGTGTGCGGGGCGGGGGGAGCCAAGCACAGGTCAGAGGACAACTAGGGATCCAATTAGATTGTCAGGTTTGTGTCACCCTCTGAGTCAATTTTTTTGCACACATTGTTTATTTTTTAGCCAGGTATTTGACCATTGGTAGATGTTTTGAATGTTACTAACTGTGCCTGTTTTAGGCATATAGCTATATAGCTATATATCTTTTTTTTTTTTGGTCTCACTTGGGATCCCTAGTTTGGGATTATTTAAAGCACTACCACACCGTTATTACAGGTGTTTAAATACTCTCAGGAGTTTTGTCGTTTAGATTCCTTGAAGGTGGGATGGAAATCCAGGACTAAAAGGTACATCGGGCTGGAGGTGGCTTCCTGATTAACAGCACACTGCTCTTTCTGGGTCTAGGGGTTCAGCTCCAGCACACAGCAGGCATCTCACCATCACCTGTAACTCCAGCTTCAAGGAGATCTGACACCTCTGGCCTCTGGGCCACCCACACTCACTGCACATATCCACACTCAGACAGACAAGCTCTCGAGCACACACACACACACACACACACACACACACACACACGCAATTACAAATAAAACTTAAACATAAAAAAGTAGCACATGGGGACATTGTGCAGATGGTCACAGACCCCTGTCCTGATACTGGGATACACTAGTTAAGGGATTGTCATAGCATGAGGTACGTTGAAGCTCTGCAGGCACAGAGTGGCGTATACATTTCAAGAAGCAAAGTGCAGGACAAGTTCCTCCTTAAGGCCATGCTCTTTAACGTACTTAATGGGGTGTGATGCAGGGTAGGCCTGTGCTCTCTTGAGCTGTTTATAGTTGAACCACACTGCCAGTGGCAGGCAGGCAGGGCCTTCTGTCCTCAAGCCCCTAGCTGGGGCCTCGGGCAGAATTGATTGCCAATGTCGGGGAACCCGAATCCCCAACAGGAGAGGTCTGAATGTTTGTGGTCCTTCCGGTGGTCCTGGGTGTGCAGCACCTTGCAATGGCTTGAGAGTCTAGTGGTCAAACAATTGGTGGGGCTTGCTGAGAAAGAAAGGAAGTTACCCTTCATAAACACTTACCAGCTTGGTGGTGTTGCTGTGAGCCCCTCTTCATGGGGCATATTCCTGAAAATTCACAGCTAGTTATGAGGAGCTCTTAGCCACTCTATGTCCTGCAGGTCCCCCAAGATGTTGATGGTGAGGTGCTGGTGATTGCTCTCCACTTAGCGCACACGGATCCACTCCCGAAGCCTCTTATTGCCATCCCTCTGCAGAGGAGGAATTGAGCTAGTGGTTCAAAACCCCTGGCTCTGAACACCGCTGAACGAAGTGGGTCTCAGGCACTGATTTGGTAGTCCCCACAGGCTCTCATTAGACAGCTTGTCTTTGGCCTCCTCCTTGGAGCCAAACTTCAAACTGAGTCTTGAAGCCAGCAGTGGAAAAGCACTGACAGATGGGGGCTTGTCTTTCCAAGCGTAAACGGAGAGTTTAGAGCATTTTCCTGTCCTGGAGAGCTGGAACACCAAGAGCCTGGCTGCCAGCCCTTGTTCACCCCCAGTCCAGCCCAGGAGCACTACTGGCCTTACCAAGCACCAAATCACCTGGCTTCTGGGACCCTCAGAGGTGGTCCTCTCTAAGCCTAGGCTGGCGTAATCCCATCCTGCCTTCCATCTTGTAAGGTGTACTTCATCTAAGCAAATTTCTATAGGCACTCAGAAAACAGATCTAGGGACCCTAAAGACAGCAGAGTGTGTCTGTGGCCACTTCTGACCATGGTGCCATGGAGTCCCTATGCCTCCATCTTGCCATGTTAACAGGTCCTGCTTTCATTTGGCTTCTGATCTCCATGGAAAGACTGATCTGCCTTATTTGTCTGGCCCAGATGGGCATAGGATCTTTGTATAGGTGGCTTGGAGCTCTCACCTTGGCAAGCTCCTCTCAGAACATTGCTTCCATAGTTCTTTCCAGGCTGGTCAGGTCCATGAAAAAAGTGTGTGTTGGGGGATGGGGGTGGGGGTGGGGGAGGGACCAGGGTGTGGTGCTGTACATCTTTAATCCCAGCACTTGGGAGGCAGACACAGAGGCAGGTGGAGCTCTAGGAGTTCAAGGCCAGCTTTGGTCTGCATAGCAAGTTCCAGGCCAGCCAAGGCCACATACCGAGGCCTTGTTTCAAAAGAAATGGGAAAAAAAAAAAAGTAGCTGCTTTTTAAGGTGCATAGTGCAGCCCTTATTTTTATATATTTTTTAATCTTGGCATAAGCCAAGAGTCCTCCATGAGTAGTCAGGGTTCTGATAACTCCATCTCTCATGTCCCTTCTCTATTCTATAACCTCCTGGAACCAACCCCTCCTGCGACCAATCTAGTGACTGCTCTAGATTCTTCCTGTTTTGAATTTCCTGCAGTGCCTGGTACACACCTCAGGGATAGGTGGTGACAGAAGGGCATGCTCAGGGGGAGGCCCTGCCTTCCCAGAAAGAGAACAGCAAATGAGAGAGCTAGTCCTCCAAAGCAAAAACAATCCTACAGGCCCTGGCTCAGCTCTTCCTTACACCCACGACTCTTAAGTGTTGACCACAGCAGACACCAGCTCCTCTTGCTCACGCCATCTGCCTGCCCAGTGAGGCTCAGCTCTGATGCTGCCAAGAAAAGACTCCTTTGTTGATTTCAGGGCATAGGCTGGGCCAGCGAAGCGGAGGGCCTAGCACAGGCAGGCACTGGCCCTGGCCAGCTGGTCATGAGGGAACTGCCTTCCTGAATTTACCATCTACTAGGGACACTGAGAGGATTAAGGGGTCTCCAGGAATAGAGGAACTGAGCCTTTTCAGTGAGAGATATGGGGCTGGGCTAGCCTATCTTTTCCCTTCAGAGAAATAGCTCTCAGGAGCTCAGACTGCAGACCAGCTTGGAGAGCTCTGTGGCTGCTAAGTCAGCCGTCCAACCCTGTGATTTACCTTCAGTATTTTTTTTTTTTACATTTGTTGTATGTACATGCATGTGCACACACCACAACACAAATGTGAAAGCCAAGACTTGTGGGAGTTGGTTCTTTCCTTCCACCACATGGGTCCTGACCATCAGGTATGGCTGAGCCTTCTCTTTCTTCCAAGTTGTAAACAGATGTGCCATTGCTGTGCTGGTCATCATCTACGCTGCCGTTCCCCCTGCACCTAAGTGGGTGTGAAGGAGGCAACAGCTTTCACTGGCTTTGGACCCCCTCCTCAGTGGCCTGGAGTCCAGGGCAGCCTTGGGTCTCAGGAGGGCTTTGAGCACTGGAGCTTATCTGTCCCTGAGGCAGGTGTGTGCCAGGTGCTGTCTGACGTTCACTTGCATGAATATTTCCTGCCACTGCTTGATGGAACATTCAGAATGGAAGGGCAGGCTGCGCCTTCCTGAGCTGGCCCATCTGCTTGGAGCAGCTGGTGCTTCTGGTCCTGCTTGTGCAGGGTAAGGGACCATTCGGAACTAAAGCAGACCAGCACTGAACAGGGCTTGGTCTTTTAAGAAGCTGGGGCCCAGGGAATGACTGAACCTGTGAAAGGTTGTGATTGCATTCTGTTGCAGACAGGAATTCCAAGCTTGGACTGGAGTAAAGCCTTCAAGATCCACAAAGGCCAGACCAGCCAGAGTAATCACGACTCACAGCTCTGGATGGGAACCCAGCCCTGGGGCCAGCTTCCAGGTCAGCCTGAGGCGGAGGGTGGGAGTGGGAGGGCTGGGGACAGACACCCATTCTCCAGGGCAGGGGTTCAGGAGTCAGATTTTGGTGGCAGGAAATGATGATTAAGGACAGCAGTGTCCAACCCAATGTATCTAACAACAGAAAAGATACTTTGCTGTTGGCTAGGCGGCTTCTCTGGCACTGCCCAAGTGAACAGTGTGTCTATCCATCTCCTAAACCCCAGCTTGTCTCCTGACTACTACTAGGGCTTATGACTTTCAAGGGCGGGAGTGTGGCTCAGCAGTTGACTGTATGTCCAGTATACACAGAGCCCTGAGTGCTATCCTCAGTACAGCTGTTCTAAAACCAAAGTGACTTAGGTAGAGCTCTGTGGTACAGCAAGGGCATGCCACGTGAGGCTCTGGGTTCCTTCCCAGCACTGCATGGCTAGTTAGTAGCTTCATCCCAGCCAAGGGCAAACAGATTAGACTCACGTTACCCATGACCTACCGTAGTAGTGATGTAGCTCGCTTTGCTAACTTCCACCATCAACTCTTGTTAAAAGACAAGGAATTCTTTTCTCAGAGCCAGGAGTTAGACAAGTTGAGGAAAAAGCCCACTGACACAGCCACACTTCCTTTTTCAGGTTCCAGAGGTGAGGAAATTCACGCCTAATCCCTCAGCCATCTTTCAGACATCTGCTCCCCGTACTCTCAACGTATGACCAGTGGAAGCCATGGCTGGGAAAGCTGAGCAGCGTCAGACCTACCAGGCTTGGTCGTTTGCAGACTGGAGCAGCATGGCTGCTGGCTCTGGGCATGGTGTGGTGCGGAGGCAGAGGACACCAGCAGCTGCACTCAGCCTCCCCCACCTTCTTCCAGCAGTATCGGAGAGGGAGACTCTGCTATCTTCTAAATTGGCATTTGGCATCTTTCAGTTTTTAAATCTGAGCATTAATTAAGCTGTGACCGAACTGCTTTGGACAGAGAAGTATGCATATATCAAGTCCTTGGTAGGCCATTTACAAACTTCGGATGGTTTTCTCAAGATGCATGTTATTTTTACTTTATAACCTACGGTAGTCACAGGCAGTAGAATTTCCTGCAGTGGGCCTACATGCTTACCGTTAAAAAATCTTAGCCTGGCAGTGGTGGTGCACGCCTTTAATCCCCGTGGAGGCAGATTCGGGCAGATCTCTGAATGTGAGCCCAGTCTGGTCTACAAGGCTGTTCTAGGACAGCTACAGCTACACAGAGAAACCTTGTCTCAAACGAAAGAAAGAAAGAAAGAAAAGAAAGGAAAGAAAGAAAGAAAGGAAAGAAAGAAAGAAAGAAAGAAAGAAAGAAAGAAAGAAAGAAAGAAAGAAAGAAAGAAAGAAGGAAAGAAAGGAAAGAAAGAAGGAAAGAAGGAAAGAAGGAAAGAAAGAAAGAAGGAAAGAAAGAAAGAAAGAAAGAAAGAAAGAAAGAAAGAAAGAAAGAAAGAAAGAAAGAAAGAAAGAAAGAAAGGAGGAAGAGAGGAGAAGAAAGAAATCTTAGAATACTAGGAATGAAGCCTTTAGTCCCAGCACTTGAGAGGCAGAGGCAGGAGGATCTCTGTGAAGTCGATGCCTGCCTGGTTGACATTCAGGAAAGCCAGGGCTACAAGAGACCCTTTTTCAAAACAACACCACCTTAGTGTTTTGGTTTTTGTTTTAAATATACTCATCTGCACACAACTTTCATGATGGTGATATATCTCCAGGGAGATCGTCCACATGTTTTCAATTTCAAATGTAATTTCTTGATAGCCAAGACGATCATGTTTCAAGGAAACAATTCCTAGGATGAGTGAAATGCTGAAAGCACAAATGGCGTTCACCCCATGTTTCTAGAGCTGACCCATGTTTTTACTAATTTCGGTCATCTCCTCTCCATACAAGCACTAGCAAGGACAACCATGCATACCACAAGGATCTGTGAGCGTATCTGGAGGGCATCTCCTACAGGAACCTTTCCCCTCAGCCTACTGGCTCCCCAACTCTGGTGAGCTTCTCACAACCCCACGGAGGGGACAACTCATCCTGTCTTTGGAACACTTATCTCCATAACTGCAGCCAGTGTGGTTGCGTGGAACAAGCCCATTCCTCTTTGCACAACCCTTCAAACACTGGAAAGAGCTTGTCTTCAAGGTTTGGCATGGTGTTTGGTAAGAACTGTAAGGGTTTCCTTATGCCTCCCTCTAGTTCTGGTGGTGGGGCTCATTTCAAAGCCACGGCAGAAGAGGTAGCTCAGAACTCCCATACAGCATGCCTTCAGAGATGTTACCAGGCCCAGCCTCCCTCCTGCCAGCCCAGGAAATGCTGTTGAGCCATTCTGAGGGGAAAACTGAAACGATATGCATATACCAAGGATCCTGTCAGTTTGCATACTCAGTGCTCCTAAGAGGAGAGAGATTGCCTGCTGGGCACCTACATGTAGGCAGTGAGCAGAGTTAACAATGACTAAAATGCAAAAATGTGCTGCTGCAACTTAAGTCATAAACAGAAGTATCTTCTTTCTCATTCATCGGGTCTCTCAATAATGACTTTACTATAGTGTGGCTATGCTAACATCCCCGAAGCTTGTGAACCCCAAACCCTTGCCGAGGGCTGCAGATACCCAATGCTGCAGGTGATACCCTCTTCCCATTTCCCCTCTCCTACACCCTTAGCTGGGGAAGGGAGCCATCTGTGCCACTGCTGCTTCCTTACCAGCTGGGACAATGGAGTTTCCATTTCTGCACCTGAAAATGAGGCTGCTACTGCCTACACCTTGCTGGCTTACTAGGAACATTCAATGCTTAGCACAGTAAAGCCAACCAAGCATGGCTCAATTGTCCTTTCCTGTTTAACTCTTCTCCAGGTGCCCCTTCATCTTGCTGTGGCCACTGGCATGTCCCGGCTAAAAGCCTCCAGCTGTACTCTGCCAATGACTGTAACACATACCCAGCAACCCCAGCCCCTGCTGCTTTTGCCTAGCATACAGCACACCTGTCCCTTTTTTGTAATGTGGTGCTTCAGTGGCCATGGAGTGAAGGTGACCTAGCAGAGGTCACAGTTTGTCTAGAACCTGAGCAATGTGCCCCATAGCTCTTCCCACCAGGCCTCATTAAAGATAAAAACCTGCTCCTAGGAAGTCCCTCATTCCAGATCACTCCATGAGCAACCAAGACAATTCTCAGCCATATTCTTAGTCCTGAGTCCACCTTATACACAATGTGCACAAAGATCTGAAATGCACTGGAGGATCAGCAGGGTTCATTTCTGAGAAGGGAGTATGTATGCGATCCAGTATGTGCAGGTACATATGTGTCCCTGTGTGGGTACGTGTGTTTGTATGTTTCTATATATACAGGTACATATGTGTATGTGTTCCTTGTGGGTACAGGTCTGTGTGTTCCTGTATGTGCAGGTACATGTGTAGAGAAAAAGAGGACAACCGAGTGTTTTTCAAGTACCCTTTGCTTTTCTCCCTGGCCCAGAGCTCACCAAGTAGGCTAGGCTGGCTGCATAACAAACCTCAAGTGATCTGCCTATCTGCCTCTCCAGTGCTCGGATTTTTAAGTATGCACCACCATGCCTGCCTTTTTTATGTGGGTTTTGGTGACTGAACTCAGGTACTGCATGCACTTCACCAACTGAGCCATCTCTCCAGTCCTAATTTTTAAAAATACTTTATCATACCTGCTAAAATTCCTATAAGATTTAATAATTTTTGTATTGTGTTTTTAAAAATAAAGCACTTTAATCTGTTAACTAGAGAAAACAGTGATCAATATTACTCTATAACCACAGTGACCAGTGTGTGTATGAGGCCAACTAAACAACATCCTTTCACATGGAAAGTCTTAACTCTCCATGCTGCATGGGCTTTTAGAACTCAGGATTTCAGGCTTCTGTTGGATGGATTATGCCACCCACCTGAGGCCCAGCGCTGTCAGCACCCAACCTGACCCAGCTAGTCTTACTCTCCAGGGCTTTCCCTGTGCAAGTGAAGGGCTTCCCAGCAAGCTACCTCTGTGGACTATGTCTCCTCATAGAAACTCCCTTCAAAAGCCACAGATTTCCAAGCCTTTAGTCCTGGAATGTCTGCACCTTTTTTCATAATTTTGTAAAAAGCTGTGATCTTAGGTAGTATAGTCATGTCTACATCACAGACATGACTTTCAGACCTCGGCACAGATAAAAGAGTTTATTAGACAAAGTGTCTGCTTTCTTGAGAAACTGAACCCATTTATGCATTTTCTTTTACTCTAAATTGCTTGTATGAAATAATTATGTCCACGATCACCAAGTGAAGTGTCTTTTATTTCTCTGTGTGACCTGAAGTAACTGTGATCCTTTTATATTGCACAGTTGCATATTCTTCTTCTGAAGGAAGGAGAGATATTAATTTATACTCACAAAGACCTCACAGCCTCATCCCAATGAGCCCATCTAAGTGTGGTGCTTCCAGCTCAGAAAAACCATCACAAATACTAAAAGTTTTATTGTAGACAAAATGATGCACAATTATTTTACACATTATGATAAAAAACACTTAAAATATTAACATACATGGAGTCTGTTAAAACATTTGATATTTCTTTAGCAAAAAAGTAATTAATTTCTTTAGGTTTTCGTCACAACAAATGAATCTGCTCGCATTTGGATACTCTACCATGTAGGTTTCCATCCACTTCTGAACAAAATCTGTGTGGGAGCCTATAAATCTGCTGTGTGGTCTATAGACCACACTCTTAATCCTTATATACCCAACTACATACCATTAAGCCATGCTTGCCCTATGCCTGCTTGAAAGATCCCTTTGGTCCCCATAGCTCTCAGGCACTGATTTAAAAGTATATTTTATCCAGCTACCTCCCTGCTCTATTTCATGACTCACATCTATCCATGGGACCTGGGAGAACAGGCTTTATGTTGCTTTGACTTTGAATCAGACATTTCAAGTTTCCTTTGAGCAGAATAAAAACAGGTTTGCAACTGAGGTTAAGGCTTTTTTATTTGCCCCCACAATAGTTAAGTGTCTGCACAGTTTGTACTGGCGCTGCCAACCTCCTGTCTGCCCCTCTGACGGAGGTGTTCCACTCCCAGGCGCTGGCACACTGGGTTAGAGCAGCTCTCGCCCATGGTAAGGCACTCACAGGTGTTTCCACCCTTTTCATCTTGGTAAAACTCTTTGGCCAAGAAGAGGACTCTAGTCCACTGACACGACAATCCCAGGAAGGTTTGCAACGGGGCTGTCTCCCTCTCCTGGACATGAGGCAGTAGCAGGAGCTTCTGCAGCCCACATATGGACCACATGTGGGCCAAGGACCTGACCTTGTGGATGACACCTACACTAACTTTGTAGTTCCTTGGGTTACACGGGCACAAGCTCGACGCTTTCTGACCTCTGCCGAAACCCTCAACACTACTGTGACACAGGCTGTCAGCACTGGCATCAGGGTCCCATCAAGTCTCAGTGCAGCCTGCTATGCCCTCTGTAGCTAACTCACACTTGCCAAGAGTGCAGCCCTTCTATGCTGAGAAAAGGTGGAGAAGGTGCTTGCTCACTCTGTTCCTTGGAGTTCCCCAGCCCAGCATGCCAGGCTTATTTCTGCCTTCTGGAAAGTGGGCCCCAGGTGACCCCAAGCACACCCCAAAGGAGGAGCACCCTGTGTATGTGCCTTGTCTCATGCCAAGACCCCTGCAGAGCTTTGATGGAGTAAAGAAGTACAAGCTGACAAAGCCGTGTCCATTCAGCTTTCCTCCAAAATTGGGAAACAACTCTGTCTTAAAAGGGTTGCGCTCAGGACTCAACGTCCTTGTGTAACTCGAAGTTAGATGGAAGGAATGCTTTGGTAGCCACGGCCTTCCACTGCCCAGAAAAATCACCTTTCCCCAAACACAAGGGTCACCACAGTTTGCATACTTCAGACACAGCTTCCCATCCTGCTTTTCGAGGACCATCTTCACTGCATTCACTAATCCTCGTTCAGTCTCCCCATGTGTTTGTTTGTAAGAAAATCCAGAAAAGGAATGTTGCAAATAGCCTGGTGAATATTACTCACTGTGATTTCTTTGGGAATCCTAGTCCAAAACAAACAAACAAACAAACAAACAAACAAACAAAAAACAAACCCAAAAGTACAATTAGGTATAATTTGTCAAATGCATTCAGTAATTTAGTTAATATACTAAAGGGACCATTCATTACAGATGGAAGTGAAGGCAATTGCTTGAGGCCATTCTCTCTCACATTTTCATGAATCCTTCTTCATTTATAGTCCTACCCAGGGCTTGAATTATAGGAATGAGGACATCATGTTGGCTGAATGATCAGCCAACAGAGAGAAGAGAGGAAGAAGACAGCAGAAGAAAATGGTGTGCATCTACGTCTTAGCAGACTAGTTTGCTTCAGAGCACCATGAAAATATGGACTGCATCTCTGAACTGAGGAGGGAGGTAGAGTCCTGGCCAGCAATGCATACGGTTGCATGCTCTCATTCAAACCACTCAGGTTGTCACATCTCCGGTAAGGAACCTGAAAAGCATGGCGGCTCCTGCTTTTCAAGCAGGCAAGGCCTGGAAATTTTTACCCTTTCTTCTTCTTCTTTTTTTTTTAAACCACCTGAAGACCTCTGTGTTGTCTGACCTAATACTCTCATCTGGGGATCCATGACCTCAGGTACTGCATTCCATTGATAGGGTTTTATGATAACCTTCAGTGTAATAGGAAAAACAATACTGTTTTGCGCAGAAAGGGGAAAAAGGATGTGGACTTCTGTTCTTTTAAGGCTGGGGAACTGTGCATCCCACTCAGAGATGAATGCTCAGAAAAGAGGTGGCAGTGAGTGCAAAGTCTGAATCTAGAGCCTGTGGTCTGGGACAGTGGAGATGACTCCTTTTCAGAGCTTCGTTTCCCAGTTCCTAAGAGGAAGACACTGTCTGCAGTGACAAGTACCTTAGTATCTATCAGTCTCGTCCCTAGAGTCTGCCACGCCAGCCATTACTGTCTGTAACATAAGAACCTGCTGCCTGCTCTACCCTGTGATACAACAGACCTGCATGTCTATGAAGTAATGGCTGGGAGGGCATAATTTAGGCTTTCATGCCAAGAGGATCTTTTAGAAACATAAAACGAACCTTCAAGTCTATTTTATCTGGGTCTAATGTCCCAAGCACAGCCAGTCTATCTCCCACTACGTTGAATTATGAGTAAAACAAACACCTTCAAGAGTAACTGAAGGACAAAGCCTCCACTATCAGCATGCGTACCTGTTGGGAGATGCTGTCTGGTATCCAACTGCCAGTGCCTGTCTCAGGATGTCACTCACCAGCTGCTCCGTGGCCTACAATAGAAGACTGGTGTTGACAAAAGAGCCACCTGCTTACTAGTGGGAAGAATACAGCTGACCTCGTTCTCTACTCAAACTTTTGAAATAACTGCCAATTCAATATTACAAAGTTCTCAGGAAAAATTGAATTTTTGTTTAGAGGCCATGGTGTAGAGAAATTATAAATTGGACTGAGTGGTTTTCACTAACCAGACTTTTTTCTTCTAAGGAAAACAGAGTGTTGAGTGAGGGCTGCTACCAAAGCCTTCCTTTTGGAAGGATGCAGAATGGAAAAGGAACTGATGAGGCAAGAACCAGGCCAGGCCTGAAAGCTGTAGCTTTTCTAACCCCCTTGTTCAGGGACAGGAGAGTTGTGGCTGTTTCTCTGTCGTGAGAGTTAAGGAAAACCCAAGTCTGTTTTCTTCTCTCTCTATAATGAGAACACAGATACTTCTCACACTAGACTACTTCTTAATAAGCATAAGAAATAGCACTAAAAGGATGCTGACAGCCATGGGAGGTAAAGGGCTCCATGGCAGACCACCTGCCTGGCATGCATGAGGCTCTGGGTTACCTAATAACATAGCCCCCAACTTTTCGAGG